TATATGCTTCCCCGCGTCAGTGTCCTGCGGAGAGGGTCCCCCACATGTTCCACGGTTTGCTTGTTGTTTCATGGGCTGCCCATAGGCAGAACGTGGGCAGCCCATGGGCAGCCCAAGTAATAGCGCTTGTTGAATGCCGTTTCGAGGTCCTACGGGTTGCCCACTACGTGTTGCCCACGGGAGAAGTACAAGACACCTACATTATGGGCATCCCACAGAAACTAACGATGGGATGGACAGCACCCGGTTTTTCTACAGGTGCTTCACGATGTGTCCTCCATGAAACCACCTGGCTGTCGCCTCTCTAACCGCATCGAACGCAGTAGAAAATCACAAAGTACACTCTCCTGATCAATGAGAAAAGATCGTTCATTGAGAAAATATGTTGTGGGGGTCGACGCAGAGACTATTAGATGACTGATATGTTTTCTTCTTTGAACATGAAACGAGCAAGCGATGCCGGAGATTAAACATGCAGATTCGACTCCCGTTTAAGCTTGCCGTAAACTATATATGCATGGGACAGGGCGGTTAGTGTGAAGTGGTGTTTGTTTGCGTATTTCCAAAAGCACTGCATTTCACTCTTGACGGGGCACGCTCGCCATGGACACCCCATTTGATTGCTGAGAAAGCTCACATATGGGCAGAGCCCGTGGAGAAGTCCAAGAGACGAGAAAGAGACCACATGGGTATCCCATGGTGTGGGCATTTGCTTGATCGCTCACCCATGCATGGCCGCCCATGAGCTCAGTCCAGTGGTAGCCATGTGACAACCCCAAAACTCCCATTGTTGCTCATTGGTTTGGGAATGCACATGTGACCGCACCCACCCGTCCTCGATGACATCTGAAGCTCAAGCTCAGTCAAGGGCGGGGGCATCGGGATGAGAACCGGATTTATTGGCAAATTTTTAATGTACTGGGACAGAGCTTTTAGGAGTTTAATTACGCGGGCGAAGCCCGCCAATAAACGGTGAAACCCATTCATCTGCGAGCCAAACGCTTTCAAAATGTTGCACCTCACTCAATGCATCGATGAAGGAAAGGAGACACCAGAGCAGAGGTGCCGTCACTGGGGCAGCAAAAGAATCACCGTTCAGATATTCTGCCATGCGGGTTGTCAACAAACCGACGCGTCGGGATGGATAGATGATTGATGGCGATTGCTTTGGGTGGGGTGTTCACTCCAATAAAGAACCTACCGATAGATGGAGTCAAGCGAGCGAAAAAAAACAACGCGGAGCTGCCAGAGCATCATCATCACGTTCCTTGAAGTGTTCTGGCGAGAGGACGGGCGTGCAGATGATATAAAAGCATGCATGGATCCCTGGGTGTGGGTACTACTACTGCTGTGCTGCAGTAGCTCGACATAAAACATTCGCGTGTGTGTGCGTGATGCGTGCGTGCGTGTTTGTAGCTCTTCTTCTAGCGGGTGCTGCTGCGTACTCGTCATCGACACTCAGTGTGGGTTGACATTGCGAAACTTTGTGCACACAGAAACCAGAGTGGTCTCTGCTGCTGTTGGCGTCTGGTATGCGTCAGTTGCAGCGCCCAGGCTCCCGCCTGATGTGTGTCGGTCTCTGAACTGGTTGGTTCGAATGAATGCGGTGCGCCCAGAAGAAAAAGCGGCGTAATTGCCAAAATTACTCGAAAATAGACAAGACGCCAAGTAGGCGCCGAGTTAAATGGAGACAGCTGATTGGCGGACGCCAAGTTAAATCTGTCCCGGTGGCTTTTTTTGCTGCCGATTTATTCGTCTCAAGAGACAAAAGCAAGAGAAAACAGAGTTCATAAGCACAGGGCGTAAAGGTGTCTACCCGATCAGCTCTATACCAGCAGTATATCACGCCACAGATATGGGGGCTTTTGTGGGATAAAGCAGATGTCTCCGACCAAACCAGTTCGGTGGCGGTTCTGCATGTGTGAATTCTGATGAGTTGCAAGCGAGCCATATATCACCCTTTCCAGACAGAGTCAACCGCTCACAAGCACCAAGGCAAGGTATGAACACATTCCCGAAAAACTCCTCGTGCTGACATTATGGGGGGTTCACGTGGGACGTCCCCATGCCCCACAAGCGTCCCATGCGACGTCCCACGTGAACGCCCTAGAATGTCGGTACCCCGAAACCTCCGGGACAAGAAGTTTCATTTCGTCCGGCACTAACAACTCGTAATCTTCTTCGGGGTGTAGCGCTTCACACTTGAAGCTGCCTTCTGCAACAACACCGTAGGTACGTGACACATCGTCACCCATTCCGTGGGTGGCACTTGCCACCAATGAACCACACGAGGTTTGGAGCGAGCAAATCTCTCTCGCCAGTGCGCGCACACAAACGCAACAACTCCTGCAACACATACTGTCGACTACACACGCACAAATAAAGAAACCCATTTTCGCTAGAATACGCGAGTTTCCTACGACTGTCTCCGAACGCGCGCGCACACACCCACAAGGCGTTGAAATGCCACAATTAGGTCTAGAGATACACCCTCTGCCCGAATGGAGTCTCTTTATCACCATCACACCTGTAACAACATCGTGTCTATTCCTCGTGTCCCACCCGCCGAGCGGAACACGCCCTTCTGTCGGCTGCTGCTGTGACCGTGCGCATTCTTGAGATGCTCCAAACCACTGGCTAGCATCCTGCTGCCCACCACGACGACGACCACCCCAGGCGGGCGGTACAGACGTGACACAACCCGCCTCCCTCCCGCCAACAAGCTTGCTCACCTCAAGACTCGCTCTAGAGGTCACATCCGCCATGTTTGAGGAAGGCCTGCGTCTTCCCGCTCCGCACACGGGAGTCGCTGACACGCCGAGCTCTCGGAGATATATGCCGACAGACGCTTTGTCTTCGAGCGTTCAATAGACCCTCTCCCTTAAAAATTGCATCCCACCAAAACAACGCCTCATAATACGCGGCACGGTTTTTCCACTTCCAAACAACGACAAGGCGCCAAACGCCCCAACCCGCCCTCCGAGCTGGGTAGACCACTGATGCTGCTGCCAACACTCATTATCCCGGCCCATTTCCAGCAACACATGCCCGACAAGAACACTCAGTCGTGACCGTTGAAAGTTGATCTTTGTTAAAAAACGCATGCCCATATCCCTCCTCGCCCGTCCTAACCTCACCCGTAGGGGGGGGGGGGTCTTACGTGTTTCGCCGGCCGAAACTGCGGTGCCCCCGCCGGACGTAGACAACCACTCCCGAAAGGAAAATCAATGACCGGAGGCCTCGCACGCAAGGGTCGTTCACCCCGATCTATGACTCTCCTCACAAAGCGCGCACCTTAGTCCCAAAGGTTTTGAATGGTCCCTCCAGGTTATTTGTTGCCTTACAACAGAATGCTATATGCGGTGTGGGATATTCGTTTTACTTGTACGCCACTTCAACCCTGTTTTGTTTTGTGTTTGTCATCGCAACAAACTCCCTCCGCCTACGAGTACAGCTCGTGCCGTGGTCTGCTTCCCCCCGGCCAAAAACGCAAAACCGTTGTGTTAGGTCACCACACCAGCCGCGCCTGGGGATGAAGGATGAAGGTCGTCCGCCAAGGCATTCGGGCGTATCAGCTCTCCTCCCTGCCGACACCTCTGCCGAAATCATCGACGGAAAATCAGCCGTTCTTAGCTTGAAGTCAACCACGCAAAATAAACCACACACACGGATGGCGAGCTATTCCACGTGGAATTGAAATCATTCACCCTTGATTGAGAGAGCACTAGCAGAAATATCACACACCTGATGGCCGCGACCTTACTGCATGAAGATAAAACCAACCACCAGACACCCCGCCCCCCCCCCTAAAGGCGGGAAGGGATATCGTTAGGATAGACACACTAGGGAAGAATACTTTAGCCACCTTTGGCAAAGGAGGAAGGAACGATTGGCCATCGGTGATCGGTCCTGCGGGAACAATGCTCCATCCTCTCGAGGACGCGTGGTCAATGGTCTAACCGCTAAGGCATGCAAAACATAAGAATACGCCCCCCCCCCCCCCTTTTGGGTCCCGTACCAAAACCAAGGCACGAAAAAAAAAAAAAATCTCCCCCCCCCCCGGGCAACCAAAAAGGGGCCAAACCAAGGCCCAACCCAAATTTAAAAGGGCCGCCTGCCACCCCCGTTTCAACCGGGGGAAAAAAAAAAAACCTCCCCCCGCCCGAAACCCCGAAAACCCCAGGCGGAACATTTCCGTTCCGCACGCCCCCCTAAACCGGCCGGGAGAAAAAACACAAGAGTTTAAACCCCCCCCACACTCCTGACACCTAAAAAAAAAAAAAAAACCCC